TTGCACAGTCGAGGTACCAAAGAGGAAAGCTTATAAAAAAAATTAACATGAAAATATTTATAGAAAAGAAACAGAAGCTATATTACAGCAGTGGGAAAGTGACCAAAGCTGAGATGTCAAGTCAGGACCGATAACATTGCAGATTCTTCTTAAAATTTTGTGACAAATCTCTAGGTACATAGTAGAAACATCAAACCAGAAGTCTCAGCAATATTCAAAGCAGGAGTAGTAGACTTATAAGGATGTGAGAAAAATTGGCTAAAACAATACTGAACTAAATTTACTTGTAGCAGACCTAACAGTTGATTCAATATAATTGTTCCATTTTATGTTAGTGGAAAACATTAATCTGAGAAGGCACTATGAGTTAGCATCAACCATGCTGATGGAAGGTGATATGTCCTGGAAAGGATATATTTGTTCAAAGTAGCAAAGTGGTTGTTGACTACTGTAACTAGGTAGGAAAATCTAGCAGGTAACCGTAATGGACTGGTCCTCGTCATAGTGGTAGGCAATAGGTGAAGACAATAGGCGTCGTCTCTGTACCTCCACATCAATCTGTATTTATGGCTGACACCAGCCAATCATATTACTGTGAGGGGGAACCCAGGTGTATGCGTAGTCATTACATTAGAAGGCAAAAAAGGTTCTCTAACCTGATTAAAACAATAGTTTCATTTTGGAGATGTTAAAATTAACAAGCCAGTTCTCACCTCAATTAAATACAGATTGTAGTTCATTTTTGAGATCAGCTGCCAGTTTGTTCTTTTCAAACCTATTAGACTTACCATTATGACAGGAAAAAATAGTTGTGGTATCAGCATAGATATCTGGTCAAAAACTGACGACATCAGGAAGGTCTATGAAAATTACAAAGTAGGTCCAAAGATGGAGCCCAGGGTGACAACTGTATTAATGTAATAAGATCTACAAGAGTGGCCATTCAAGATAACTTTCATTTCATGATTTGATAAAGATTTAATCAAAACAAAAATTTGTCCAGAAATACCATAAACTTTCCATTTGTGAAAAAAATCAGAATGTCAAATGTCTTCAAACTTTCTATATTATTTTCTGTTTATTTCAAAATTAAACTTTTTTATGCAAAAAAAACTTTTTCACTAAAAAATTTAATTTAGGAATCTTGGTCTTTCACTTGGAATATTCTTTAACATTTTTCATTTCATTTAATATTCTCTATGAAATTTTTATTCATAAAAGCAAATACACTAATGGTAAACTTTAATTTTTTTTTGCATAATCTGTATTTCTGTTTCTAACAGGTAAAACAATTATGCCAATTTTTCACAACAGTTCTTATACCATAATGTATTATTTACACCACAAAATTAAAGAAAAAATAATGAAAATCGAGACAAGGCAGTATGCTCTAAGCAAAACATGTGCTATTTTAATTGATTTAAAGTGAAGGCAAATTTATAGCACATATTAAAGAATAGAATTGGAAATACTAAGAAAATGTTCTCATCATCATCATCATCCCTTTAACTTTTCTAATCTTAGGGGTATCCAAATGCAGAAGCCACACTGAATCTCCCCACAATGGTCTTTGTTGTCCAGGTATATTTTTAATCATATTCAAAATAGCCACTGTAACAAAAGATGACATCAACAATTTGAACAGAGCCAGTACACTCAACCCCGGGTTGATAAGTTCAATAAGTTACCTTGAAAAAAATCAAACATGGTGAGATTCAAACCTGGGTTTCATGGTTGGAAAGTGAACTATTCAGCCATGTGCAGATACAATATATAATAAACATATGAAATATGAGATATAGTATAAAATATTTTGGAAAGATTCAATAGAAGCACCTTCAAGAATGTTCTAAGTAAGTTACTTTCTCTTAATAAGTGTAGCATTCTTTAGATCAAAGTTGTGGTTGACTAATACATTTGATAAATCCTTGTGTATAAGATCTTTTTTGTGTTCAATGGCTAACATTAATAGTTGTAAGGAGGCCTTGGAAGATTAGAAATAAATATAATGATCATGCAATGTTTCTGATAATCTTCTCAATGTCAGTGAGTGATATTATGTCCACTGATATTAAGATATGTAGGTTATGATTGAGACATGTCCTGAGGATGTCCCAAGAAGAAGACCGAATGTTGCCTTGAAATGAACCCCAATTGAGAAGATAAGGTAAAAATCACCTGGAAGAGGACAGTAATGAGGAAACTGAAAGAGATTGGACACTGATTGGGGCAAGACACAAGACATATAACAATTCAATGAAGGGATAGGATTGCAGTTTGGCATTCCACTTGAGATCAAGAGAAATGAAGAATGCCAAAAAGAAATGAAGAATTGAATTAATATGCTAAATGCAATCAAACAATGGTTCCTTCTGCAAAGGAGGATGCAGATTCAAATTCTGCCAGATTCTGCATTTTCTTTATTTTCTGAAGCACACAGGCTTGTATATGAAATAAATACTGTTTAAAATAAATGGAATGTCTATTCAGATAGGTGTATTAACTTAATGTTTGAAGTAATATAAATAAAAGCAGATGTATAAAATTCCTCCATGTTGAAATTCATTTCTTTTGAAAATGTTGAATTACTTAATTTTGAAAGCCTTCATCTATCTCAGCCATTAGAAGTAACAATTCCTCCCACTAAAAACTGGTGACCTATAGCAACCTCATCCAATACAAATTGTACCACTATTTGCTACACTTTCATTTCTTTGGATGAATTGTGAAGTGTTTGTTCAGTAGAGCAATATAAGTAGAGAAGGCCTCTTGCTTTCATATACCACTCTTGCATCAGTTCTATACACAGGCACAGAGAATGTGGAAGAACTGAGTGAAAGAAGGTTGATGGGTTGAGTGAGTGAGAAAAGAACTGGCAAAAAATCAGTGGCATTTGTTGGTTCTTTGTCTTGAAGATGATGAACAAAGTGTATAGTGCTGATACATTCTCTAACAAAGTGATCAATAAATTTACCAAAAAAGAAATGAAAAATTGAATTAATTTACAAATGAATAAGTTTTCAATGTGTTATTATTTGTTGACATTATTTTGTCAGATTTCTCCTGTCACCGTTAATGGTCATCATGAACTGCGTGATCCGATTTTAAAGTTCCCTTTCGTCACTGATATATAAATAAAAATTTATTTTCATAGTTATTTATAAAATGGTGAATAATAAATATTACATTGTAGTTGGTTTATGTATTTTGATAATATTTTATAAATTTTTTAATTAGATTTATTATTTTCAAATTTATTTCTTTATAAAATGGTAAATAATAAATATCAAATTGTACTTAGTTCACATATTTTTATAATCTTGTAAATAAACATTGCCAAGGGATTCAGAAATGTATACATTTATAGTAGTGTCAAGGGAATAACATTCTTTTGACAGACTTTTGGGAGTTGGGGGACAAAGGTTAAACATTGCCGAAGATTCAGTCTACTTTGAAATAATATCAATTTTAATTAAATATATGAATATATATTTTCAGGTAGTTTACCTATTTCTTTGTAATGGACTCTTCTAATGATGTAGAACAGTGTGACACATGCATACACACATATGTTGGTGTACATTTTACAGTTCATTACAATTTATTTCCATTTAAATGTGTATTGAATGAGAATATTTACACTTTACTGTTACTGTGTTTTTATATATATTTATATATATATGTATTTATATATATGTATGTATTTATATATATGTATGTATTTATATATATATATGTATTTATATATATATATATATATGTATGTATATATATATGTATGTATATATATATATATATATATATATATGTGTGTGTGTGTGTGTATGTATTTATATATATATATGTGTGCATGTATGTGTGTATGTATGTATTTATATATATGTATGTACTTATATATATATATATATATATATAAATGTGTGTGTGTGTGTGTATGTATGTATTTATATATATGTATGTACTTATATATATATATATATGATGAATATTTATGAGTGCCTATTAAATTAAAATTTTTTTCAAAACTAACATTTTACTTTTGTTTATAAATAATTACTGTACAATAAAATCCTCACATTTGATAAAGACTCTAAAGACCATCAGAGAACAAAATGAATGGCTAAGTTTTCCTTTTGTCTTTATTCATAAGTACATACATACATACATACATACATATATAAAAATACATACATATACATACATATTGGCTATTGGCGACTACGGTGAAGTAATGGATAGCAGCTCGAATTGAGTAATCGGAGAGCCAAGTTTGAATTCCATTCAGATCCATTACATTCAATTATGTGCTAATATCCTTGGGAAAGTTATGACTCCTATTCTACTTCCTCCAGCTATGGGTAAAAAATAGCAGGACAGACCTTGTTCTGTAGCCTTGGATGGCAACTGGTAATACCACAGAAAGAAATAGCAACCTACTGCAGGAAAAAATCTGCCTCGTCAGATCAAAAGATACATGATCGCCTAAACGGGTATTACACATGGCACATAAACTGATTGTTGAATTCATATTTGATTCGCACTCAAAACAAGAAATGACTTTTTTAATATCCCCCCCAAAAAATATTTCGAAAGTTATTGATTTCTTTTTGTATGAAAATTAAAAATATATTTTAGTCATCTCTGCTAGTGATAATTTTTTCTTGTTAAAGTGATTTCTTTTTTTATTGATATTTTTTCGTTTAACTATGAATTTATTTTTATACTGTATATCGAATCGTATTAAAAATCAAGAGTCGTCAACACCGTCACCTGAAATTATCTCCCTTGTTTTATTTATTTATTTACTAATTTTTTCCATCCTGAAAGACCTTGCTTTAAAACGAATTCCTTAACCGGCTTTTTGAGAATGACAGAATGCTTTTTAAGAGAAGATTTTCTCAGAAATTTTTAATTTATTTCATCTTTGCGATCTCTCAAACATTGTAGCACGAATAGAGAAAACAATCAAACGGAGAAAAATCAAAGATATTCGCCCTAAGTTTTTCACTTACGTAAGGCCCCGGGTTTTCATTTCAATATTGAAATATCGGTAAGTGAATTATTTTGTGAAATTGATGTGTCGTTTTCTTTCTCAGTCATCTTTATATTTATTTACTGAAAAACATTTTTTTTCTGAATCGGTAAAATTCAATGGTGTGGGTACATTTTTTCTTGTTTATGAAATTTATTTATTTACAATAATTTACATAAAAAGTAATAAAAAAAACAGTAACACTGGAATTCCAGGTTAAAAGATTGATCTTTTTCTCATAAAAAACATACAAACCTATTTTTTGTTCTTAGAATTTGGTAGTTAAACTGGATTTCCAATTTAATAAATTGAATTATCACTTTTTTAATGTGAATAACATCGTCAAACCTTTAGATGTTCAAAACAGAAAAAAAAACAATGTCTTTTTGTGTGTTTTTTATCTCTTGGTCAGAAGCATCTTTTTTTTTTCATTAGGTTGCTTTTGGATTATTTCATGTGCCATAATATTTTCTAAACTTGAATTTTGACATTACTCACGCAGATTTTACGCACTCCCACTTCCCTTGCAATGTTTCTTTCCTATATTTTGTTGATCATGGTGCTGCCAAAAATTCAAGACATCATATTTGCAACCCCCTTTTTTTTTTTTTTAAAAACTAACAATTATATCGGTTGATATGTTTAATAATTGTGAGTGATGTAAATCGTGTAAAAAAATAAATAATTAAATATTTTAAGTATTTTGAAAATTTAAAAATAGAAAAATTATAATATAAAGTGAAACTAAGTTTGATAATTAAAACTCGTAGGGAGGTACAACTTTTTACTGTTTTTGTAGATAATAAGAAAAATATCTGGCCCAGAAAAAAAAAAATCAGAATAACGACTCCCCAAGCGCACACATTTTGGATATTTATTTTAATTTTAAATACAAAATTTTTTTAATAAGATATTCTGTAGAATTTTAAGTTGTGAAAAAATTGTTGATAATTTTTTAAAAGATTTAATGAATCTCATTTGATCACTAAAAACTGCAGAATTTCACAAAAAAATCCTCCAAATTTAGATACATCTACAGCAAGGTATTCATACACAGTGAAAAGAAGTTTTGTTAAATTCCTCATCTCAAAATTAGTAAGATTTCAAAGTTTCAGGTATATACCTTCAAAAAGATAATTCTTTATAGCAAATTCAGAGTGGTATACTTTTTCTTTTGTAACTTTGACCTGTTATTACCCTTAATGTCAAATTGTACTTCTGACTGTTTTTACATGATGTAAATGAGTTTTTATTTTTTATTGATGTACTACTGGAAAAATAGCTTACTCTCTGTTGTGCTGTAAAACATAGCAAAAAGTTGCAAGACATTTGTTAACTGTTGAAATGACATGAATATGAGCAGTCAGAATTGACCTATTTCATTTTTGAGAAGACAATTTTTCTCAAAGTTTATCTGATCACATCTAATCTAATGATTATTGATTCCAGAAGTATTATCTTTCTTTTACTTGATGACTATATGATATTACATTTATAATGACTTTTCACTTATTTATACACTGTTAAAATTGGCTTCTGTCTCAATAGCACACAAGATGGAAAACCAACTTTGAATGGTCATGACATGGTTCCTTATTGAACTACCAAGATAAATTTGGTACCATTTTTTTTTGTTTGGTCAAGCTCTCTATGTCTGTATAGAAATAAAATTTTAGTTTAGAATACCTAATGAAAATGATCATAATAACAGTAGAAATTAAAATTGGAATTTGATGACTTAAAATTTTTTTTCCAATTTCAGCACTCAGTATATTGAAAATCTGGAAGAAATAGATTTTCAATGATCAGGAATTAACTTAAGTGTTACTGACAGAAGAAGGCTATTATATTAGTATCAAAAGTATTTTCATTTTTTTAATCATCTGTATGTTTTTTGAAGCATACATCAGAGTTCCAGACTAATTTTTTTCCCCCATTCTAAAAGACAACTTTATTCATTCCAAAAATATTTTGAACTATTCTGAAATCAAAACTATCATTAATCATCGTTATCATTTATAATTGTTAGTTGCATAATGAAAATATTAAAATGTTAAAGAAATTAGATTATAAAAGCTGAAATATTAAAGTTTTAAAAATGAATAAAACAAAAATTATTTAAATTTTACTGTAATTTATATAAAAAAATCATTTTTATTTAAACATTTTGGTTAAATCACCTTGAATTACATGGAAATGTTCTTACCAATTTTTATGTTTTGTAACTTTTATCAAACTTTAAAAATTGTGCTCTAGGCATTCATTTCAGGAGAAAGAATATTAATAATAATAATAATAATGATTATACAATTATAAAGCTATAATATACAATAAATCAAAAATTCAAATGGCTCATCTGGTTAACTGACTCAAGTTCTGTGTGGAAATTCTCATTGGGGCCAAATGTTTGATTTCTCAAACAACTACCTCCAATGAATATTTTCATGTGAAACTCTCCAGTCAGTTAACCAGAACTTTTCTTGATTTATCAGATATGAAAAATACTAGAGTGTTTATCATTTTATTTAAATTTTCCCTTGTATTTTCAATTTAGTTCACGATAAGTAGAAAACATAATATATAAATGTTTTTGGTTAATAGCTCAGTCAATTTTTTTAACATGAATTTGAGTGAAGAAATATATCTTTTGGTTTACTTATAAAAGCAAAATTAGTTCCTTCAATTAGACATTTAAATTTAAATTCTTCAGCATTCATTTTTCATTTTGTATTACTAATATGGAACACTGTCTTGTGCGATACATTTATTAAAAGCCTATCAATATTGGTGAGAAGTAAGAATATTTTAAGAAATTAGTTGTTTTTACAATAAACATTTTGCTTTTTAATCATTTTGCCCCAAGCAAGGCAATAATGCTACTAAAATGCAAGGGGTTATGGGATGTGAAAGAATATGAGAAAAATTACTATTAAGAAGAGAGAACAATAAATTAACAGGAATTAAGAAGACAGAAGATAGTGATTGACATTGCATTTAAATTTTTGATGATCAATGTTGACTGGGAAGCAAGAAGTCAGAAGAGAGTTCATCAAGCAAGAAATGTAAGAGAAGAAACTGTTAGCATAAACTTTGGAACACTGACCCAACTCACCTGACAAAGCATGTTATTAAAAATTTTGTATCATCTTTGTATTGTCTAAAAAAAAAAAAAAAAAAATTCAATTTATTCTTCATTACAAACTAATGTTCTATCATCTCTAGGATAATAGAAAGATTTTAATCTTGAGCCCAAGCTTATATAATGTTCAGCCTATGACAACTGATCCCAGATTTCATTCTTGGGGTGTACTTTTGTTATAACTCACTCCTAGCAGTTATAATATGATGTCTTGCTTAGGCTACTTGCTGCGATATCTATTAGAAATTCTCCTGAATGATTCCAATAGACTACCCTGAATCTCTTGGAATTCTTTATTTAAGGTGTCTTGCCTAGTTTATTTGTGTCACAGCGGTGGGTGTAGGTGGTATTTACTTCACAACATTCACCCTTTTGGGATTTTTCTTTTATTAGTAAATATTTTATTTCTTAGTATTCACCCCCTCCTCTTTCTAGTGAGTTCACCAATGTACTGAACTTTTTATTTCTTTCATTTTGGGTCAACCTATAGTTTTTTCATACATTTCCTTTTCCTGATAATCATATTTGTACGTTAAATGAATTCTTGAAGTGTTGGTATATCAACAATATCATACAGTACTTGCATAGGTTCTTCCTTTCTTGTGGGCCTTTTTTCAGTAAACTTTTTTCCTTTTACAGTATATATCATTTTTCCAATTCATGACCTTATTATTACATTGTCTTCCCACATTTCTTTTCCATTTTCATATCCTCTGAAAAACCCTTTTTTGCTAATTTTGAATTTTTGTCTTTGGCCAAGGTTGTAATTTTGTGGTATGTGATTTTGTTGCCAGAGCACAACCTCTGCAGGCTTTTACTAATTGTTCAATGTCTTGTTCTATTTTGGTCCAGTATACATAGCTTCTCCTAAGAGATTTAATCCTTAAAATTCATTTAATATTCACTTTTGTAATATGCTAGGTATTACTACTCTTTGTACAAACTTCAGTCCTTTGTCACATAGCGAGTAAGTGTTCAGGTCTGGATTGTGTTCTAAAAATCGTCTATCTTTCTTTTAGTCAATTTTTTATTTTTGAAATAAACATCTTATTCTGCTTTTTACTTTTATTTCTTCCAGAGTAACTGGTATTTTGTGTACTACATTGCATAATATATTTTTAATTTCTATTTCACTTTTTAATGCTGCAATAACAGTGTCCTGTTCAGTATTTTTTTATATCAATCTTGATAACCCATCAGTATGTCCTAATTTATGTGTACAGTTGGTATTCCATCCTGAAATCAAAATTTAATAAGATGTACCCCAGCATTGTAATCTATTCACTGTATGCTTAGGAATTCCTTTTTTCAAACAATCAATTGATAATAGAAGTTGATAGTCTGTCTGCAAATGAAAACTTCCATGTATAAATTTGTGAAAATTTTTCACTGCAAATATTATTACTAACACTTCTTTCTATCTGGCTGTAGTTTTTCTGCCAATAGTAGAGAATGCGAAGCATGTGCAATGGCTTTCATGTTAATGTCATCATATTTATGTAGAATTACTGTTCCTATACCATAGTCACTAGCATCTGAAGCCAATACAATTTCTGCTTTTGAATCGTAATGTGCTAATTATAAGTCTGACGTTAATATTGTCTTGATTTCTTCAAATGCCTACTGATACTTATCAGTCCAGTTCCATTCGACACCTTTTTAAGCTAATTGTTCAGTGGAGCTCTCAAATTCTGTATATTAGGTATATAAATTTGATAATTGTTTCCTAGTCCCAGAAATGCTTGTAACCTAGTAACATTTATATTCTTAATTGCACTTGCCTTTGACAAATCTGGTTGAGGACCATTTTTGTCACTGATTTGTCTTAGGTACTTCATTTTAGGCAAAAAATAATTCACTTTCCTTCACTGAGTTTTTC